CCTGTGGATTCTCTCTTTTTAATTTTTTTTGTTACTGTGCATGTATTTTAATTGAGACAGTCATTGTACTTTATGGGGTATGGTGCAGCATTTCAATACATGAGTACATGTATATTTGTGAACATAAAGGATTTCCCTAGGCAATAAAAAGTGGCATCTTATATGGACTGGTTTTAATTGTTTCATAACAATATTCTTTGGATGTTATTCCATGTGAGTATCCAAAAGAGCTTCCCCATTTTTTTCTTTGAATAAACTGCACAAGATTCTATTTTATGAATGACAACAATTTGCTTAACTAGTCACTGCTGGTGGCTATATAGGCTGTTTCCAATCTTTTGCTAATGCAACGAGAACTGCAGTATAGAATATTCGGTAAGTGTGAGTTTGCACATGTGTGCAGACACAGAAGATAAACTCCTAGAAGAAAGACTGCTGCATCGAAGGGCCTGTGCATTTGACATTTTAGCAGACTCTATGGACATGCTCTTCACAAAGGCAGTGCCATGGTAGCCTCTCCCAGTCTGCACGAGCATGCCTGATCTGTGCACCATTCCTTGTCATTTATTTCCATCTAGGCCTAAGTACTAACTCTTACCAAGTCTTAACACAGACTGTGGGTTTTGTTTTTTGTTTCGAGGTGCTGGGAATTGAACCCACAGCCTTGTGCATACTAGGAAAGTGCTTTATTAAGCTATACCCCAGCCTGCACACAGTGTTTCATATAACTTTTTAATATTTGTTAAATTTAAGGCTAAAAATGGTATGTTGGCAAAGTTGTATTTTGCATTTATTTTATTATGCGTGGAGTTGAGCATATTTACTAATGTTTAAGAGCCATTTGTTTTACCTTGTCTCTGAACTAACCTATTCTATTATTGTAATTGTAATTTTTTCTTTCAGCCCTTTAAATATTTCATTCCACTCTCTTCTTGCTCGCATGGCTTTTTGAAGAGAATTCTGATGTGATTGTCTTACCTTTGTTCCTCTGCAGCTAAGGTTTCCTCCCCCCATACTTTTTTTTAACCAAAGATTTTCTCTTTGTCTTTTAAATTATTATTATTTTAAACTAATTTATTATTATTATTTTTTCAGTACTGAGGTTTGAACTCAGGGCCTTGAGCTTACTGGGCAAGTGCTCTACCACTTGAGCCACGCTCCCAGACCTTTGTGCTTTAGTTTTGTTTTTAGAAATGGTCTCATGCTTTTGCAGATGCAGAGGACTAAGATTCTCCTCCCTTTCCCAGTAGTTGGAATTACAGGCATGTCCCACCATGCCTGGATTTTTGTCTTTTCTTTGCAAAACAAATTATGTGAATGCTACCTAAAGACTTATGAAATTTTCAGTACAAAAATTCATTTACAGTAAAAAATGAAATTGGATTAAGTTTGAATGCAACTTATTTCTTTTTATTATTATAATTATTAACACATTAATTGTATAAATTAATGAGATTCACTGTGGTATACCTTACAGGCCATGTTTACAAACCTGTATCTAAACAGATCTTCACAGTAACTCACTGGAGCCCATGGTGAGCATATCCACACCACACAAGGAAAGAGGCAGGGGTTGGAGGGCATGCTCCAGATCTGTGGACTCCTAGTCTAGTGCTCATTCCTCCTCATAGCCCCCTTGACTTGTCACTTATTCCTGTCTAAGCCTAAGTACTAAATAGTTAGCAGGAAAGACAGAGGGCAAACATGACAGGAAATACAGGTAAGGACAAACAAGAGGGATTCAAACAGTTGATGAGAAAATAGGAAAAGAGAACTTCAGGACTGAAATTGATGGGGAGTGGACGGGGAAGGACGGACGACGGACGGACTAACTGTATAAGAGTGGCATAATGACCGTACTATGTCTCGAATGCCCACTGTCTGCTGTTTGTTTCATGTGCATAAAAAAAAATTCCGAACATCAGTCTTGCAAGGCAGGTGTTTTTAAATCAACTATATCACATGTCTCTAGAAAGCAAGGCCACAGTCTCATTGGAGCTTAATATCTACGTACTAACTGAAGAATGCTTGCAAAACATCCTCCTAGGCCTGGACATAGGAATTCATGGTAATGGCAGAGCTGGGAAGGAACCTTGATGATGTCAGCCGCAATGGAGTGCGAGAGTGTCCTGAGAAATGCGATGTGGTCAGAGGAGAAAGGAAGGACATTGTTTCTATTACTATATATTGATCAAACAGCAGAGAAACCTGATGGGCAAGACCAAGGGGCAAGGAAGCAGGCAGCTGCTTTCAGCTGGAGTTAGAGATGCAGATGAAATGTGGACTAAACCAACTGCAACGCGAGAAAGCAGCCCAGAGGAGCAGGCTGCTGCTTCTACCTGAAAAAGTGCTCCATCAGCTACTTCGCCCTCTCTCACTGCTGCATCCTTTTTTTAAAGTGACAGTCAGGACGCTGCAGGATCCAGAAGCGGAAATGGTCTTTGCTTACTGGATGATAGTCTAAATTCAGACTGAAAGAATGTGGTTGGAGAGACAGCTGGTGGAAATGGTCCCAGACCTGTTTTCAGTGGAAATGTCCAAGTGCTGCTCGCTCTCACTTTCTTTCTTCCATCAGGTTTAGTTTATTTTTTTAAAAGTAACCAGCCTGGCGCATTGCATCCGAGCCGTTGTACACCGAGGCTGCTGGCTTGCCTGGGTGATGAGCATGCGAGATATTCGAGTGGCTTCTGAAAAGTGGCACTTCCGCCCCAGCTTCTCGTTTCTGCCTCCGAGCAGTTCATGTTAAAGCCTGCCCCGTGGCACTGCGGATGTGACTGCTGTAAATACCACCCGGCAGGGCTCGCCTGCTTTAGAAACTCGTACGCAGGACGCGCCGAGCCAGTGCCGGGATACCCAATGACCCCGGACTGCGGCAAAGGGGTGTGGGAGTGCAGAGCAGGGAAGCTCGCCTGGCCCTCCTCTCTTTCCTCGCGCTGCGGAAGCCAGACTTCCAAGGAGGGGGTGGGGTGGGGCAGGGGAAGGTCGCTGCAGGTCGCCTGCACCTCCAACGCCCCCGAAATCTGCAAATTCATTGCTGGCTTTCATCTTCTTGCGAACCGCTTAGTACAAGTTGGGCCAGCCCCGGGGCTTCACTTCCAGCCTTTTACTGACTTCTAAGGCGGGTCCAACTTCTCCCAACCCCACCCCCCCCCAAAAAAAAAGGTTTTGACTCGCTTCCCCACAGCAGAGGTCCAGCCTCTGCTTCGGACTTTGCTTCTTGCTCGCACGCGGTCTGGAGCTGCGCTCAAGTCTCGACAACTTTCACCATCGTGACCAGAGATCGGGCCATTCCTAAGACAATGTGAACAAAGAGGAGCAGGGGAAAAAGCCCGGGCTGCAGGGCGAGTGGATGTGTGTTGGGGGGGGCGCAGCGCTCGGCGCGCCAGCCACTAAGAACCCGGGAGAGGGCGGGTGACCCGGGGTGTGGAGGGAGCCTCCGCCGGGCAGGGCCCCGTGTGGCCCAGGCAGCCAGTTTCTTTGTCCCCGCCTCCCGCTGGCCGCGAAGGCCGCTGGCCACTAGCAAAAGCTCGAGCCCGGGAATGGAGCTCCAGCTTCCACGTGCTGCCCTGCGGGACCGAGAGGAGCCCGGGCGCCCAGCAAGCATCTCGCGCGCGGCTCCCCAGGCTCCGCGGTGAGCTTCGGGACCCGGAGGGAGACACTGGAACTTGTCTTTCGCTTCTCTGAGCCAAAGCGGGGCTCAGGATGGCCCTGAATAGCTGGCTTGGGGTGACAAGGGAACTCAGTGGAGCGATTGTCACCACCCTGACGCCCAGAAGACGCGCGCGCGAGTCCGGTGCGGGTCGAACTCCCGGACACTGGCGGTTCTCTGGCGCCGCCTCCCCGCTCCCCCCCCACCTCTGGTCATCCATACCAGGCCGCGGGGACCCGGGCGCGAGGGCGGGCCCTAAACAGAGCCCCAGTTCACAGATGCCATGCAAAATGCCCCTAACAAAACTGAAATAGTGACTACTTGTGTGTGTGTGTGTGTGTGTGTGTGTGTGAGAGAGAGAGAGAGAGAGAGAGAGAGAGAGACTGTGACTCGCATCCATCCGTCTTACCTGCAGTATAGTTTGCGCTCCCGTGTGTCTGCTGAAGAATGAAAGAGAAACTGCCACGTCCACCCAAGCTCTATGAACCAACCCTCCTTCCCTTCAACTTTCTCAGTTAGGTCCTATTTTACAATGCAATGCAGGATGACACAGTCCAGGTGAAAACTACTTTTCCAGTTTCACTTGAACCTGCATCGGCACAGCGACCTAGCTTTTCTGTGACCAGCTAATGCTCGGTAGGAGAACATTGAGCCTTAGGAGACTCAGGGGTTCTTCCTCCTGCCTCAGGCAGCGCATCCTCCATGCGCTCCTCTTCATCAAACAAGGGTTCCTCGCTGTCTCTCCCGGAATCCCGCGTTCTGCCGCGCTGCGCCCGGCCTGCCGCAGAGCGGCGCGGGCAGCCAGGCGGGCGCTAGGACCGGGCGGAGCGCGGGCAGCTGCGGCGCTACCTTAAACCCAGCCCAATGCCGCTGCCTGCGCCACTCTGCGCGCCGGCGGGGGCTGCGCAGGAGGAGCGCTCCGCCCGGCCACACCGCTGCGAGCCGGCGCGGCGACACCTGTTCGCGGCAGCCAGCGCCGCGCGCGAGCCCCGGACCCGCTCTCCTCGCTCGCCGCCCTCCGCCCGCCGCCCGCCGCCCGCGTGAAGCCCATGGACCTCCGCAGAGCCTCCGGAGAATTCTGGATACTAGCTTTGGATGCCTAAAGTTTTCTCCTCTTTTTGTTTTATTGTTATTATTATTTTTTGGAGGGGGGACTGGGAGGGGTGATTGGTCGCCGCCACCACCGAGAGATCTTTTTCCCCCTTGAAGGATTCATGCTGATGTCTGCAGAGTCGGTTAGAGAGTAAAAACAGCGCATGCCTTCCTGGAGTCAGGATCCGTAAATTCTGACGTAGCCCGAGCATCTTAAAAATCCCTATAATAACGCCTAAGCATTTAAGTTGCTATGGTCATTCTGATCTCAAAGCAAATGGAGAAACTACGGATTTTTTTTCCTTATTACGGTCGGATGGGATGAAGACCTTCCTGCCTGCTAAAAGCTGGGGATCTATCTATAGAGATACATAGATATGTTTATCACTATGTCAGTGTGTGAGTATAAAGTGGTGGTTTCTTAGACTATCAGTGGTTTGACCTTGAACCGGTGCCAGTGAAACAGCAGATTACTTTTATTTATGCATTTAATGGATTGAAGAAAAGAACCTTTTTTTTTTCTCGCTCTCTTCTGCAACTGCAGTAAGGGAGGGGAGTTGGATATACCTCGCCTAATATCTCCTGGGTTGACACCATCATTATTGTTTATTCTTGTGCTCCAAAAGCCGAGTCCCCTGATGGCTCCCTTAGGTGAAGTTGGGAACTATTTCGGTGTGCAGGATGCGGTACCGTTCGGGAATGTGCCCGTGTTGCCGGTGGACAGCCCGGTTTTGTTAAGTGACCACCTGGGTCAGTCTGAAGCAGGGGGGCTACCCAGGGGACCCGCAGTCACGGACTTGGATCATTTAAAGGGAATTCTCAGGCGGAGGCAGCTATACTGCAGGACTGGATTTCACTTAGAAATCTTCCCCAATGGTACTATCCAGGGAACCAGGAAAGACCACAGCCGATTTGGTAGGTATACCGTTAACCCCTTAGGGTCCATGCGATGAAATGCTCGGACTGTAACTATCAGGAAGGTGGCTGGGCGGGGGATGCGGGAAGGGTCTCTCTCTCTCTCTCTCTCTCTCTCTCTCTTCCTCCTCCCTCTCCAGCTCAGGGGGAAAAAAGCCTCCGGAATTGCAGATCTGTTTGCTGGCACTGGTGCAAGTCTACATTGAAAGGCCTTTTTTCTTTTTTTCTTTCTTTTTTTTTAAAGGGGGGTTATGATTTGTGAATATAGCACAAATCCCTACTTCTTTTGCATCAGATACGCGGGAAGATCGGGTTTAGGAAGTTTCTTTTGAATGGATGGATTCCACGAGTTTAAACCCTTAATCATTAACTACTAAGAACTTAAAAATGCATTCGGTTTCCTGAAGGCAGTAGGTATCTCTGTCCAGATTAAGGCTTTTCCCTTTCCCTTTTTCTCTAATTAGTATTCTGCTTGAATTGTAAATTAAGTGTATTGTTTATTCCCTCCCCATCCCCGCCCCGTGCGGGTCTGAAAGCCCCGTAGGCGAAGATTGCTGACTGATTGTTCTGCTGGGAGGAGGACTGAAGTCATATTTTAGACTCGGTGAGCGTCCGGGCAGAGGAGTTTGGGAAAAATGACTTGGGAAGAGTGCTCATTCTTGCAACCATCAAGTTCCAGCCTTTCCTGTTACACGTCCATAAGTGTGCAGCCCGGTGCGGGTTTCCTGGGTGGCTCTCTGGTGTGAGTGTGTGCGTGCGCGTGCAAAAGCTGCGAGCTCATTTTAAAGGGCATTGGGAGGGTTTCATTTTCCAAGGAGGGTATTTGTGACTCAGCACTGAGGGCTGCAGACTCAGGGAGGTGACTCTGCCCACTTTCATGTCTGCATACACGTGCCTGCGGGGGCACCTTTAGCCCACAGCACCGAAGTCAGCTAACACCGTCCTGGTTGAGATGAGGGGGGTGGATGTCGGTTTTTTTCCTTCCTTAAAAAAATTTCAGCGCCAATTCGGATAACCAGACCATTGGAAGGAGTTAACTTCGGAGGAAACCCACCTGACAACGCTTAAACTGGGTCGTAAAATACAAAGTCCGGGGGTGATTTTTCTTTCTCAGGCTTTAATGCCAGATGTTGGACACAATTTGAACTACATGTTTAGTTTTGTGGGGCCGTAGGTGATGCCTGAAGGTGAGGAGGGTTCAGACCTGGGATGGGGACAGTTCCAGATCCACGAGGCCCAGGGTTTTCTCCTTTTCTCACTGCTGACCCTGAGCCCAAAGCTGAACCTAGTAAATTTCTCTGGCCATCTCCCTTTGGTGTTTAAAAACAGAAGTTGTAGCTCTTGGGTTGAAACACAACTATCCTGCCCTCCCAGAAGCAGTCGTAGCTCCCGATTGCTGCCAAGGGGAGACTAAACTTTACCAAAAGTGCTTCTTTAGCTGGCCGCTTTAAGGGCTGCTACCGTGCCTAGCGTCTACACCAGAACAACAGGGAGTGGGCGGCCGTGCGTAGGACAGCCAGCGTGTCCCAGGGCCGCCGCGGCCACCAGCCCGGCTGCTGGCGAGCGGCGTGGGCGGCCGGCCTAGGTGCGCCCGGCTGCTGGGCCCGGCCTCCCGCGCTCCAGCCGGCAGGTGCGGGCTCCGCGGCCAGGGCCCCGCGGCGCTCTCCGCAGCCGGCCGCCCAGCTCCGCGCGGTCCTAAGCGCGCTCGGCTCTAGCTCCCTTCCCTCCTGGCGTCAGTGCGCCCTTCAGTATTGCGGGGACCGCTGGTTGTGGGGGGGGGGAGGGGGCGGCGGGCAGGTGCTGACACACTTGTGGCCGTGTTTGGGGAATCTGATTTTTCATTTTTGCCCGAGCGTAGTCCCTTCTCTTTCTCTTTGTGTGTGAGTGCGGGTCTGGCGGGGCTTACAGCCGCCGCCCCAGGTGGCGCGGTGTGGTTTGCGGTGTGGGAACGGGTGGAGGCGCGCGCCACAGCCGGAGAGTTGGTGGCGGGGACTGAGCACCGGCTGGAGGTCCGACCCCTGAGCTCCGCAGTCTCATCCTGTGTCCCTCCCCCTCTCTCTGAAGCGCGCAGCCTGGGTTTGGAGAGTCGGTGGGCTTCGCGGTGCCCCGGAGGTGGGTCGGGGGCCCCCTGGCCCAGCAAAGCCAAAGCCACTGGGGAAAGGGTGGGGGTGGAGGGACAAAGGGCAGCCGAGGCGGCGGAGGGGGCGGCATGCTATTGTTAACAGCTTTGCGAGAGTCAGGCTCTGGGCCCGCGGGCTGGCTTTTTTGCACCCCGACTCGGCTCGGGCCTCTCGGCCACCGGAGGCCGAGTGTGTGCCGGAGCGCGGCGGGGGCGCACAGCAGCAGGGACGCGGCGGCGAGCCAGGGCCAGCTTCATTGTGTGAATTTCCCGGTCGGAATCCCGAGTGAAGCACAACTGGGCCCAGACGTGGAGAGATTATAGGACATTCCATTTGGGGCTCTTCCACGCACACCTCCCCCTATGGCTTTTTTTTTGGTGCAGTCACCTTTAGGGCAGGACGTTTGCCACACGCAATGGAGTCATCAGAAATTTAGTAACTCTGCCATCAAGGACAGCAAGGATTCAAGGGTGGGACCACGCGGGTGGGGAGAGCGGGAGAGGCGCGTTCATGGGTCAGCGGACCAGGTCTACAGGTACAGCAGCTGAATAGAGACCATCAAACACAAAGCTAGATCACCTCACTCCTCCTTGATCCTAGAGGTTGGAGAAACATGTCGCAAGAAGTGACATCTTTAATCAGACTCGCTCCGCACTGTGTGTTGGGGGGTGGGAGAGTGTAGAGGAAAGTGTTGAGTGGGAAGGGGGCGGACACCCCAGCCTAGGATGCAGAGCACGCGGGGTGCCAAGACGCGAGCTAGCCGGGGGAAGGGCGCGCATGGCGCTCCGCGGTGCCACTCACCCTCGTTTGGATGGAGCTGAGTGGGTGGCTGTGCGCAGTGGGGGTGGGGCAGGAGGGTGAGGCAGGAGGGTTATTTAAGTCTTTCATCCGGTTGCAATGAGAAGTGGGCCCCCGGGGTGACAGCAGTGTCGCGGTCTCCCGCTGTTGCTTCTGCTGCTGCCTCTGCTGCGGCAGGTTCCAATATTAGCAACCTCTGCAGCGCGGTGCGCGTGCCGGGAGCCTCCAGCCCTTGCTTTCTCAGCCTCGCCCGGAGGGTGACTAGACGGCGCTAGGACCCGGCGGCCGGCGGGCGCGAACCGGGTGGGAGGAGGGAGCGCGCGCAGGGAGGGGACCGAGGGGCTGCGGCACTCGTCACACCTGGCGCTCCTGCCCGCCGCCGCCGCCGCAGCCTCACCTTCTGCCCTCCTCCCCCAGCAGCGGCCTCCAGCTCTTCTCTCGGGCTGCTCTCTGGGGACATGGTCTTTACCCTGTTTCACAGTAGCTGTGCATGGGGGGAGGGGTGGGTTTACACCTTGATTAAAATAGAAGGTGCATTTTCTACCCGAAATGGAAAAGCAGAAGGAAACGTGCTGGAAAAAGGATTTCTGCCGCCCCCATGCAGCCGCAGGTGACTGCAGCTGCTGGCAGGCTTGGCAGTGACACCGCAGCGGCAGTGCAGGGGACGTGGGGGTGGGGGAGGCTTACCGTTGTTCTGGAAGGAGCTGCTGTAGGGGCAGTAGGTGGGACCTTCAGAGAGCTCTTTGTTTTTTCCTTTGGGGGTGGTGGTGTGGAGGTGAGGTTGAGCAAAGAAAAGAGGAAGGGGATCCTGCTTCTGGACAATAGGCTGGGAGAGACCTTTCTTTTCTTTTTAAACAGATATTTTTTCACTCTTAAAGCACTCCCGCTTTGCTAGCTGGGAAACAAGTGAACAGAAAATTAGTTGGGGGCAATGGTTATGTAGACTAACAAAAAAGTGAATGTTAGGCCTGAGGAAACCTAAGCAGGCTCACATCTTGGGGTCTTGGGATAGGGTGGTAGAGCTGGACTTCATCAGGACCCCAGATGAGTACCCCAATTAGTGAGCAATTTGAGGAGATAGGGCCTCCCCACCCAAAGGGAGTCAGGCGTGTCAGGTGGAGGTTGCACTAGAGGGGAGAAATAGGATGGTGTGATTTATCTTAAATAGAAGGTTTAAAAAATCTTATTTCCAGGGTTTTCCATTAAAAAAATCCTATCCTTTGTGTTGTTCTTTTCAGTATTGTCTGTCTAAGGGGCTTCTTTTAAGCTTGCTTCAGATTCTTGAAAGCTTACTGTGTTCTTCAGACCACTCAGTTGTCCATTTCCTAGGTAGATTCACATTTGGTGATGTTGCTACAGACTGAACTTTCTGGATGCAGGCTCTGCCATGATTGGAGCCCTGAGAGCTATGGGCAGGGTAAGCTGGAATCTCTGCCCAGAAGGGGCTCAGTTGTTCACTTTGATATCCTCATGTCATGCTTCTCTCTGCAGACAAGGTCACTATGTTGCCCTGGTTGGCCCGGAACTCTTGGCCTCAAGGGATCCTCTTGCAGGCAGGTGCCCCTGTGCCCTGCTGCATGTATTTTTATTGTCTGGTACAGGAGAGCAGCTCCATAAGTGTTCGGGGGCTTTTAGGTGGGTGGTTGTTTAATGCAGGCCAGGACCCAGCAGTTTCTGTTGCCCTCCTTCTTCCCCTGGCTGGCCTTGTTAGGCCTCAGAGGTGAGGCCCAACACAGGTGGCGCCAGGAGGCTGGGCCAATCTTGGGTTAGTGGCCCATTTGGACAGAGGTAGGGAAGCTCTAGTCACTAATAGCCAGTGAGACTGGGAGAAGGAGGAAGGTCTGATGTGATCATTTTCCTGAAGTACTCTCTTGTGGAGACCCCCTGAGGCCCCACAAATAAGTCCTCATTTGGAATTGTTGGCTCCAGCAGAACAGAGAAATGACACTAGTTCCTCATCTTGGGACAGTATTGAAACCTGAGATGAGACCCCAGATCAAAACTCCTGGGATTCCCCATGTCAGGTCCTGCTACTTGCCCCTATAAAGAGACAGGGTGAAGGGCAGAGGCATGGTGGGCCGC